GTCCTCCTCACAGACGTCTCCACGCGGAAGCCTCCCTCCGCCCTACGCTTAGGAATGGAGTATCACATCCATGACATTATAGGGGCGGGCCTTGTGGACTGGTGGGTGTGACAAATCTAGAATATTGATTTGAAATACTTGGGTTCATCAGAACTCTGAAGGAAGCTGTCGGTGGCGGGCCAATTGGCTACGACCGGGGCATTCCCCACGCCGCAGCTGTATGTAAACAAAGGGGCGACATAATTAACCTTATATGGCCATGTCATTGACCAACTATGGCCAATGATGTCACCAGCCTCTCGTTCCTTTGCTTATATGCAGCCTTATTGTCCGCGTTCGGACTGAACATTCCTTATTGATAATGAAAAGCATAAAAATTGAATTGAACCATTAGGGATAGGCACCACACCCCCAATTAGAATTGTATACAAGAAAGATAAAGAAAAGCGGGGCTTTAAAAGTGTCCAAACCATACAGAACGTCCATCAAACATACATGGTTTTGTATAAATGTATAGTTAATACATAAAGACTTGGTTACAATTAAAATGTAATTGACATGATACAATGTTACATTGAAATCAAGCTACCTCCTTTTGGTGCCCATACATGTGTACATATATATAATTCATTAATAATTGATAATGAAGACCACTAGATCAATCTAGTTTGTCCACTTGACTTATTTTGAAGATAAAAAAAGCAAAAATCTCACTCATATGACCCTTCAGATTGGGGAGCTCTGCCAGTCTCTACGTGAGCATTAACTGAGCGAAGTAATACTCAACATTTGTGTGCCCTGAGGTCTTAGAAAAACGAAGCACCAAAAGCCAACCGGGGGATTTATCATGGCTGAAGCAGACAAAATCTGGAGCAGTTGCCCATGGCAACCAATTGGCTTCTCTCTTCAGTTTGTTCAGTTAAGCTTTGCAAATGAGAGAGAGAAGCTGATTGGTTGCCATGCACAGCTGCTCCAGATTTTGTCTGCTGCAGTTTTAATAAATTCCCCTCAACATGTTTTGGCACTCATGCGCTCCTTTCATCAGAGCTGATCTCTGTTCTAAAATATTATAAAACCTTAATAGGAATAATTGGAATATCTATGACCCCTGGCCTGGAGATGCAAACTCCATACATGTTATACCTGTTTAATTGTCTCTACTGGAGGGTCGCTGAGTATTCAGGTACAGCTACAAGGGCAGCTCACTATTAAGCTGCCCATACACCTATAGATTTTCTATGGTCAGATGGAAAAAGTGCCACAGATTCCGCCATCTACGCCAAACTGTGTGGATGGGGGAATCTCCCGCCGGGCCAAGCTTCAGTATCTTGCTAGTCGGCCCCGCTGGCTCTCAAAGTACCTGAACAATCTGATTGATGACAGTTGCTCGAGCGAGAGATGGGGGGACCCGGCAGCAAACCTTATCCCGCCGGTTGACGTCCCCTCCTCTCTCTGCCGGCATCCATCACCAAGATGGCCGCCGGCAGGTAACAGCGACACCGCCTCGGGACACCTCTGGGTGTATGGCCAGCTTTATACACTTATTGCAGTTTCTGCAAGAACAGCGATCATCGCTGAGGAAGGGCCTGTCTTCATCTCCATATTATCTACTAGACAAACCTCATCATCCCTCTGCCTCTGGGGGTCATGCCTGTGACTTGAGTCTTGCAATACCTCATGGGACTTGTAGTTTTACCACAGCTGGAGTGCTCAGGTTGCCTATTCCTGTACTAGAGAGTCTTTCAGTCCCTGTGGTCCTACATGTGCAGCTGGTGCTATGGAGTCCTCAATGTTATCCCTTGTATAAAGGGATAGCCTGCACCTGTTGTCCAAGACAACTTGGAAGGCTGAGATATTTATAGCTGAGCTGTGAGGCTAGTACTCTGTAAACATTGCAAGGAGCAATCGTCCCACAGCGACCAATCAGAACTAATTTGAGTAAAGCCACACTGATACAAGATGACTTCTGATTGCCTGCTTTGGGTGCTGTGCTTTGCTGCATGCAGTGTTTTTTTTAGAATAAGTCAGTGTTCTATCAAAAGCTCCAACTCGTCGAAATCTACAACTACCTCACTGCCGGGTACTTGCAAGTTGGAGATTTCGACCAAACGGCGTTAGACCGCAAAACACAAAAACAGACGGAGCGCTGTACAGCTGCATTTTAACAATATTCAACAGGTGGCAAACTCGACAAGTATTCTGAAAACGCTATGCGCACCGCAGCTGTACAGAGCTCCAGTATTCCTGAGCACCGGATGTGAGGTAGTTGGAGATTTCGATGAGTTAGAGCTTTTGATAGAACACCGGTATGTTTCTATGCTGCCTCCATACAGTCAGTCCTGCAGGTGGGTAAGTGTTTGATGATGAGGTTTGTGGTGCAGAGGGTGGGAATCTGTATAATATGCTTCTATTTTAGGTATATTATGTAGGTATAGTATTGAAACTTGGCTACAAAACCATTTCCCACCCAGTTGTGGATAAGGAATGATCAGTTTCTTTCTCTTATTCTCTTTCAGCATTCCCACAGCATCCGGGACCCTTCTCCGCCTATCAGACAGCTAGCGCCTCTACCCCTCCCCCGTGCCTTCACAATCACTGCCATAGTTCTCCGGGTGTGTTCATTCCTGAGCCGGACCCTGGGACCCCTCTGTACAAACACTGATTTCCAATGCCTTAGATCTCCAAATGAACTCGTGCCATTTGCGTCTGCGTGTAATTATAATAAATAATTATTTATTTATGTTATCTGCAGTCTTTTGTGTCCACCGCCTCCTCCCACATACTTCACAGAAAGTTGTTTGATGACCCCCTTTGCTCGTTCACACCAGCGGGTACGCATTATGATGGGCACAACGCGCAGGCTGATTTTGCATTTCATTTTTTTTTTTTTCCTTCTAACTATTCAAAGTTATTTTTCAACTTCATTATTACACCCAACAGCATTGTGCGATACACTGGTGTTTTGTTTTTCTTTTTTTACATACACGACTTTTTACATACAGTCACGTGGTGTTGCAAGTAGGGAATGCAGCAATACTATCAGTGTTGATACCGAGTATTTGGGCAAGTACTCATACTCGCCCAAATGCTCCAATACTTACCCCTCGATACCGGAACTTCCAGTCAGAGCCCGCACCCGGGTGACACCAAGAGCCCGACAGTGTCAGGAGACAGGAGAGGCCCCGGCCGCATACCTCATCCCGCCGGGTGAACGTCCCCTCCTCGCTCTGCTGGCATCCACTACTAAGATGGCCGCCGGCAGGCGTCAATTAGATTCGCGATGACTTCACGGCGGGGTGTCACCCGGTCTCCGCTCTGGGTGACACCCGGCCTCTGGTCTGCCTGTCAGTTTTTCCGGTGGACCCGATTGGATGCCCAATGCTAGTCCAAAAAAAAGGAACAGTGTTCTATTTCGATGGACACGTCCATTTACATTTGATTCCCCTATAGACCCACCTGGGGTCCTTTCATTTCAGTTTTTACTTCCATCGCAAGATGGCAGTAAAAATTGGAGGGACACGGATGTCACAATGGTGACGTGTGATCCGTACTGCTCCAATCAGGAGAGGATCCAGGCACAGATTCCCCCCTGATTGGCCCGTGTGGAAGGGGCCTTAGTATATAAGTAGTGCTATCTTCCTTCCCTCAACCATGCCAAACAGTGGTGCTCCCAGCACCCCAACCCCCCCCCCCGCACACACACAGGGGTGTGCCCCTGTCAGACTACCCGAACAATGCCTGCAGCTTATTAGATGCAATTACTGTTCCGTAAGAGTTTTCGAACCGTCTCCTACAACTAAAGCTGATTGATTTTTAGTGTACGGGCGGCGCCAACATGGCCACACACGGCCCGACTTCCAGCCTAATCATCAGGACTTCCTAACACTGTTCTGCCTGCTGGGAAATAAAGGGCCGGCTGACACGCTTTGCCCTCAGTATCAGAATTGTGTGAGCAATAAATCCGGTTGAACTTGATCTTCAGCTTCCCGTATCGCTGTCATAGTGACGTCTTCATCGGCCCAGCGCCCCAAACCGTATAGTTTCTGGGTGTGTACTAGTAATGAAAGTCTGAGGCGGGGTAGCCAAACCCCTCCAGCTGTGGTGGAACTACACATCCCATGAGGCTTTGCAAGATTCTCACAGGCATGACTCCCAAAGGAAGATGCATTATGGGATTTGTAGCTTCACGACAGCTGGAGGGCCGGAGTTTGGCTATCCATGATCTAAGGCATTTGTAGTTCCACCACAGCTGGAGGGCCTGGAGTTTGGCTACCCCTGGTCTAAGGGGAGTCTCAGTTGTCCTTGGATCCCAGCTAGAGTTCTGCGGCCTCACAATTGTTCTGCTTTCCTCATAGAAAAGGAAATGAACCTTTCGATATGAACACATTAAAAACCAAAAATAAGATTGTCACTGTCAGCATCAAAATTCACAGAGGATCCGGGCTGCACAGTGATCGCTGCAAAGAATGGAGGAGTTTTGTGTTGTTGCCTGATGGGAACAAAGTGGAAACAGCTAAATACACAGATGATTTCTCTCCATCCAGTCCTGAGATTTACACAGCTCTGCCACCCAGCCCAGTCCTGTCTGGCAGAGATACAGACCTGATTTTTGTCTGCTGCAGTTAAAGGACAATCCGGGCATGTAAAAAATTAACCCTTGCAGTGCCAGTGGGGCTACCCCCGCATTGTACAACCACATTGTAAGGTGGGACCTTCTACTGCTCAGCAGTGATAGAAGCGGGTAAAGGCCCGATCACCGCTCTTCACATCTCTGCCATCACTCTTCTCATCGCCCCCAACCCAACCATCATTGTCGGTAAACGGATCGCTCGACGCCCATCCGGCTGATACAATGTAACAAACAAACGGCCAGCAACTGTCAGGCTGGAAGAGTCACGTGACTTCAGGGAATCAGCTGACCCGGACACAGTCACGTGACTGGGTGCTGCAGAACCAGGAAGAGAGCGGGTGATCGGTGTCCGATCTGATCCTGCAGGAAGGAGGGTGACGCCAACATGGAGGGCAGGAGGACCGCCAGCTGCTGGGTGGCCATTGTCCTGGCGGTGCTGGGCTCTGTATACTGTGCACCCTATAAACAGGTACGAGACAGCTGGAGTGCCAAGGTTCGCCACCACTGCTATAAGGTATGTGGTGAAAATGGAAAGGTTTTATTTAGAATGGCATTCAGGGCCGGTGCTAGGATTCTTTCCTACCCAGGCAAGGTGCATTTTTGCGTCCCCGACCCCCTTTAAAAACAGAACATTTTGACAAGTACTTGTCAAAATGCCCCGATGTTTGCGCAATGGTTTTTTTTTCTTCACTTACCTTCGGCGCGGGAGAGCAGCGGCGAGTCAGCGCTGGTCCGGTGGGAGGAACTCCAGGTGGGGTCCTAATTTAGCTGGCTGGCGACTGCCTGAGGTGCCGCACCCTCAGGCGGCCGCCTGACTTGCCTTGCGGTAGCGCCGGGCCTTATGGTTTTAGGGGGGAGGGGGGGGGGCAGGGAAGGCAAAATATAAGCAGATTAAACTTCAGCCTCAACATCCAAGCAACATCGAATGTCTGAAGTGCTTTATTTCCTCATTTATCATGACTTGGGGGTGATGATTCCCTCTCCACTATAGGGAAGGGTGACCCTTCGCTGCATACAGAGCCTGTGGTGGAGAGAGAACATAAGAAGTGTCTGTAGAATCCGGGAAGCTTGCCAAGTTCTGATTGGCTTTGATGCTTCTGGAGAACGCTTTTCATCACAATGAGCGCACAGACGCCGCAAAGAAAAGGAATCGAAACAGGAGACGAGGAAGGGCAGACATAGAGAGAAGGGGCCCATAAAGAGAGAGAGAGGGAGAGGAAGGGGCCCATAGAGAGAGGAAGGGGCCCACACTTGCGGAAGATCCCTTTTTATTTTTGTCATACACATTCCAGAAACATTTACAATATATTCCAGCAGCTAGACGGATTTTCCAAGTTCTTGGGATCTCCCTAAATCAGAGTACAGAATACCGGTGCCAAATGACAATTGGGATACATGGGAGGAATATATGGTGGCACCTCTACATGTTTTTGGAGCATGGTCATGGCCCCCTATGTGGTAGCACAGAGTAAATGACAGGTCCTCTTTATGGAGACATCACGGATCTATTAGACCCCTAATGTCACCTATGGACCCCACAGGAGCTGATGAAGCAGAGATCGTGCTTCACCTCAGCAACCGGAGGAATGACAACCTGAAACCGGAGGCGATTCATTCAACGTCGGTTCCGCTTTCAGCAAGCAGAGGGGAGGTCAGACACTGGAAGTGTGCTGCTCGTCCTCTGATCCGGTCCCGGGCCTGCATGCATGATGGACAGTTCAGGATAACTGAAGAATCGGGGGGGCTGGGCTCACTGTTTGGCAGCATACAAGTGATCGGGCGACTCTACAGCCACCTGAACACTTGTATGTATGTATGTATGTATGTATGTTAAAACTGACGGCTAAAAAGAACGGCGGCAGCAGAAGTCATGATCTCGGTATAACAACTTCAGGACCTTGCCGAGTATATACGTATTGCGCTCCTGAAGTGGTTAATGATGATAAGCTAGATCATTTACTAGTCTGAGCACCATGAGGAATATATGGAACTTGGGTTGGTATGTTTTCTTAGGGCCATTGAGCTGCTTTGATCGGCCCAAACTCAAGGCAAAGACACATAGCAAACAATTGTCAATGTGCGCACGTGAAAGAGGTTTAATCTCCCCATACAGAAAGGCTTCTTTCCAGTAAGAGCTGTGAACATGAGGAATAGGCTTTCTCAGGAATTGGTTCTAGCCAGCTCAGTCAAAAAACCATTTGGGTGCATTTGTCAATGTTCAGAATATAACTGGATAATATCATTTGTAGTTCATACCTCCAGAGATGGCTGATCCAGGGAATATATGATTGCCTTAGAGCAGAGGTGGGCAACTGCGGCACGCCAGCTGTGGTGGAACTACAAATCACATGATGCTTCTGTGTCTGTGAGTCATGTCTGTGGCTGTGAGAATCTTGCAATGCCTCATATGGGATTTGTAGTTCCACAACAGCTGGAGCCCCGGAGTTGCCTACCCCTGCCTTAGAGGATCAGGCAGGATTCTAACACCCCTCCCATGCTGGAGCAAATCGGACCTTTTAAAAGGCTTCTTTTTTTTCCTTCCTCTGGATCAACTGTGAGTGTCGGATTCTTCATATTGAGGTTTCCAATTTATTGATTCATCTTTTTCCCTTTGCTGGACTTGATGCGTCTTTTTTTCACTCTAACGTTGTAACCTTGTGTCACTCTTCGCCTTGCCCTGTGCGATGCGCCGATGATTGTGGTTTGTATGAGGAAGTCATGTAATTGCGCAATCTTATCTGCCACTTTTTTTTTAAAATTACATCTCCCACATGGCCGTGGCTGTTTCTAGAAGTCTTTGTGGTTTTCATGCAGTTCGTTGGCACACGATTGCCTTATTTTTACATCCGGCCGTCAGATGTCATCACATTTACAGAGGACGGCGTATGTTTTTGATGTGGACTACAGAACATTTCCCCCCTGTGTTATGAAGATTTATTACTGGTATTTATAAACCGCAGAGAATTTTCGCAAAGCTTTACATAGGTGCACAGTCACATCAGTCCCTGGCCACCAGGAGCTTACAATCTAAGGTCCCTATTCCACATACATACAGGGCTGATTTTAGAGAGGAGCCAATTAACCTTCCAGTATGTCTTTGGAGTGTAGGAGGAAGCCGGAGTACCCGGCTGAAAACCATGCAATTACAGGGAGAAAATGCAAACTCCGTGCAGATAGTGTCCTGACCAAGGGAGTCCCGCTGCTGCAAGGCAGAAATGCAAACCACTAAGCCACTAAGGAGGCCTAACACACTTCCTGTCCTAGCATGAGTACACTGCTGCTCCATACATACAGAGTGTTGTCACCCTAAGAGAGGTCATCAGGTGAAAAGAAGTGGGGGAGCCTGGAGAAAAAAGTAATGTAGTACAGTGAGTGGTCGTTGTCACCCTACGACAGGAAGTGTGTTACTGGCAGGAGAGAAAAAAAAAGAAAACTGAGGCCCCATTCACACTGAGCGACATGGCTATTGTGCGTGTTTCCGCGCGATTTCGTGCTGAACGGCTTTGAGCTACATTGCGCTTTTTTTGGCCGGGACTTCGTCGCTGCTATATTGGGCTGTAACCAGTCAACAGCGATCTTGATGTGACATAATTCTTTCCTTCCATTTTGCAGTGCAAAAGTGACCCTTCTGTCGCGCGATACCATTGAGTCTATTGGAGCCGAATCGCGCGACATCCACCGAAAAAAGGGTCGTGTACAAGCTTCAGTGACGAGCTACAGGCGACATTGAGCTGAGATGTGAACAGCTCCATTGGAATGCATTGGACAAGCTGCATAGAGCGATATCGCGCGGAAATATGCGTGATTTTGCGTGGCGGAAATCGCGCGATAAACCGCTCAGTGTGAACAGGGCCTTAGGCAGCCATCGCACCTAAGCACTGATAATCTTCGCTATTTTACATGTAATTGCTCTTGGATTTAGATACAATGACTTTAGATGTTCTATACCAGGGGAACAGAGGGCACAATTGTCCTGGGCCCATGAACCCAGGGGGCCCAGACGTCATTGCCCCTCTCTCTACCAGCTAAGTACTTTCCTTTTATTCCATTCCATTTCTCTGGTCATCACAATCCATGTCCTTTCCTCTGTTATAACCTGTTGCTGCCTCAGCGGAGCATGCAGTGGGCCTATCACTAAGGGACAACGTGTCAGGACTTCGATGGATTGGAATTGGAGACCGTTTTGTCCGGTATGTGAGAATTCACAGAGCTCATCAGTTGCTGATTTGGCTGCCAAAGTCGCTGAGCTGGGTCAGTGAAGAAGACATTTTTGCAGCTGTTGCATTAACACAGTGGTTCTCAACCTTTCTAGGGCTGGGACCCCTTGGTAACATTTGGCAGGTTGTGGTGACCCCCAATGGTAAAATTTAGGAATACACCAATACTAGTATCTGTGTGGGCACTTAGGTGGCCAGTGTGGGCTCATGTAAGCTCAATGGGGCTCTCTCGCGGTCAATGGGCATCTGTGGTGGCCAGCGTGGGCCTCTGTGGTGGCCAGTGGGGCTCTTTGGTGGTCAAGCCGGCATTTAACTCCCCTCACTCCCGCCCGTTCCCCTCTCTTTGATCCTCCTTGGCTGCCGGTGCTGCAGCGCCATCTAGCGGTGCGGCCGGAGAACTGACACTGCTGCTCTAGGAGGTGGCTGAGGAGCTTCTCACCTAGCGCAGCACAAAGCATGTGGTGACCCCCTCAACAGTGGGTTGTGACCCACTTTTGGGTCGCGACCCACAGGTTGAGAACCACTGCATTAACATGACAAATAGGCTGCAGGTATTTTTGGAAGGACCACACTTGCTTTAAAGTGCATTTCTTGATGGCCATAAAAGGATTCATATTTTGTATTTGCAATCCATAATCCAAATGAATGTGTGTGAGAGAATGAAGCTTGCCCTGGTCTGTTTATTCTATAACCCTTACCCCTTTTTTTTTTCTTTCTCTGCTGTAGGTCTCCCCGGAGATTACGATGGAACAATTACTGTGGGTGAGCGGTCGGGTGATCGGCGAAGTGGACACCTTCCGCATCCCGCTCATCACTTACACCCCTCGCGGACATCTCCTGGCCTTCTCCGAGGCCCGCAAACATTCTGCCTCTGATCTAGGGGCAAAATTTATAGCCACCCGCAGGTCACAAGATGGGGGTGAGTACCCTATTCATTTTTTAAGAGGAACTCTAGGAATGTAAACATGACGCAAATGTGGGGAGCACACGGAAAGCTTGTGAGCACACAGGATTTAAAGAAGAATTCCAGGTATGTAAAAAGTTAACCCTTGCAGTGGGGCTACTCCCGCAACAGGTTCGACCTCATCTGGAGTATGCGGTCCAGTTTTGGTCACCTATCCACAGGAAGGATGTCCTTGAGCTGGAAAGAGTCCAGAGAAGGGCAAATAAACTAATTAAGGGGCTGGAGGACAAAAGCTATGAGACAAAGTTACAAAACTCAAATAGGTTCACGCTGGAAGTGCGGAGATTAACGGGGGATATGATTTTGATGTACAAGATGTTCAATGGTGATGGCAACATCAGCAAAACACTTTTTACGTTAAACTCCATAACAAGGACTAGAGGCCACCACCTAAAATTGCTTGAGAAAAGATTTCAGCACAAGGGGCGTTGGGGCTTCTTCTCAGTTAGAGCGGTTAGGGTCTGGAACTCTCTGCCACAAGCAGTGGTATCAGCTGAGAGTGTTGAATCATTCATAATGCATTTGGACAAATTCATCAGAGACGGTAACATACAGGGGTACAGGTGCCCTTAAAAAATAAGATCACATGGGGACTCGTACACACGCATACACATGCAGAATCACATACATACACACAATAGTTTGGACTTGATGGACCTGTGTCTTTGTTCAACCTCAAATACTATGTAACCGCAAGGGTGAATTGCTCATTTTTCTCTAGGGGCTCAAATAAAAAAATATATACTCTCCTGATCCTCGATTCCGCCTGGCTCCAAGACCATTAAGTGTATCACGTTATGCTGCTCATACGTCAATAAACAGAAGTATTTGATGTGCTATTGGAGTGCCGGTGTCTATATATTTCATTTGCTTTTTACCACGGTTGCCAACCATCGACAGCCAAAGCACCCACCCTTATTATCTTTGGAACAGCGGTTTCGAGTGCGATGGGTTCATGGACTTTACCCTGGCTGCAAGACCAGTCCCTACACCTTCAGCTTCCCCGGGCCTTCGTGGTCTAAGCCCCACTGATCACATCTTAGGCAGTTCATTCACCTGCATTAGACGTGAGGACACTGAGGGACATACCACAGCCGGAGGGGGAGAGAGCTGAGCACTCATTGTTGCAGAACCCAGGATCAGGTGAGTATCTTCTGTTTTCCGTTCCCTAGAGAAAAATGAGCAGGTAATACTTAGTGTGGAGGTAGCGATACGGCAAGGGTTAACTTTTTAGATACCTGAGGTTGTTCTTTAAAGTGACATTAAACTAGGGATGCACCGATACCGATACAAGCATCGGTATCGGCCGCGATACCGAGTAACACTTCCCTTTTGCAGCTGAGTGCCTCTTCCTGTAGTGCTGGCTCAGGTTACAAATGTACACACAGACACCATGTAGCCATTCCAGAGACAAGGCAGTCTGCTGCAAAACAGAAGTTCTGCCCAGCATGAGAAGAGTACGGATTTAAAATGAAGAGCAGCAAAGAGAAGGGAAACAACCATGGATTACAGTAAGGCGCACATTACAGTATTGTTTTATGTTCAAAAAGCTGAGGGTTTAATGTCACTTTAAATCCTGTGTGCTCCATAGCTTTCCATGGGTTTGGCACATGTGTGTGGTTGCACTGCCACCTAGTGTCAGTTTTAGGTGTCAACAGAAAGTGAAAATGAAAACATAATTGATCCAAACACACACATTGCTCTTGGTGGAATTGAAGGGAACCTCTGCGGAGAGAGATATGGAGGATAGTACTGCTGATCTGCTTCTGAAAATACGGTTTGCTTGGTTGTTGCATTGACTTGTTGGCTTTGATACTTTCTGAGTCACTGAGCAAGTAAAGTCGGTGAGTCAGAAGGAATAGAAGTGGGAGGATCAGCTAGACAGCTTCCCATTTGTAGAAGTCCAGCAATGGCGGCCTACATACTGCCATCAATACAGGTTTCTGTTAAATGACCCCCACAGGATTTTAGTACTCTAGCTACGGTGCAGTTCAGTTCCTTCTTGTTGCATACCTGTTGATATTTAAAAGATAAGGTAGCAGTTCCATGAGAATCCAAGGCTTTGTATTATCACTTCCTCTCACTTAGCCCTCTCACTCATAGGTAATAGTTTTGGATATCTCTCTTCCACTCCCTCTTTCCCATTTTCTGTCCTTTCTCCCACCTCCTCTATTTCTGTCTCTAAAGGAGAACTATGAGGTGAGTGATTTTCAGTCATCCTCATAGTTCTAGCCGACCTGTGACAATGAGACTGTCACACGTCGACTCAGTAGATCGGGAAGTGAGTGAACACATACTGGCGTTCGCTCACCTCTCGATCCTGTCACTGCAGAGAGCCGTGACAGGGGAGGGACTGGATTACCCCCTTCCCCGCTCCGATCCTCCAGCGCTGACTGGCGGAACGGACGGGGAGGGGGCGGGTACAGCTGGCTCTGCCTCTAGATAGGCGGAGCCAGCTGTCTCTCACGCAGCTGGGTGGATCCAGACATAATTGTCGGGATCCGTTTCAGCTGCGGCGTCTCAGTATACCGCGACCTGTAGCTCGCGGTATACTGAGCTTTGGGTGACGGTAGGACGCTAGTTTGTGTCCTCCCGTTACCCTAAGGAGAACTATGGGGAAAAACACTGACCCCATAGTTCTCCTTTTAAGGGCCTGTTCACACGACATCCGGATTCTGTCCGGACCTGATCCGTACGCTCCTGCACTAAAAATGCATCCCAATGTATCCCTATGTGTTTTATGGGCTACAGTTCTCACAGTTCAGGTCCGGACAGAAAAAATACTTCATGTCACATTTTGTCCGATCAGGATACGGTCCGGAAACGCAAAACGCGTCAAAAACGTCACTGCACTGCAGCTAACATACTGTTATACCTACTCCAGCAAAAAAAAAAGATATTTTTTTTACTGGAACGCGTCATAAAAAGCGCCAAAAACACATAGCACCGCGTCTGCAGATCTGCTCCAGATCCGGACCAGATCTGGTCTGGACATCGTGTGAACAAGCCCTAAAACCTAACAGAGGTCCAAACGCAACCCTTTCCCACTAGTTTTAGGATGACACACTCCACCAAACGTCATCTGGATAAAGCAATCTGGCATGGGTTCCAGGACTGAAGATAGCATTATAAATACAGGTTCCTGAGCTAAGCTACAGGTTTCCAAGACTCCACATAGGAGTAAGAAAATATATAGGTTCCCGAATTAACATCTTTATAATTAACAGATTTAATTATCAACATTTACTTTACAATATGAATGCCAATGTTCCCAGTTGGCATCCACTGAAAATCACCTTCTATGGGACCGCTCCCGGTCCCATAGAACGGGGAGGGGATCGACGAACGGAGGTATGTTCATCTCCTCCCCTGCTCCCCGCGGACACCACAGAAGCCGGTCCCGGGCCCATAGGATTCTATTGTAAAGCCGACAGTCGGCTTTACAAGTTTAAACAGACTCCCGGCGGCCTAAGCCCAGCCGGGAGTCTGTTTAAACAGCCCCCCGATGCTGGCGACGTACACTGACGATAAATATTTCCCTTTACCTGCAGGTTACACCTGGGGGCCCACATCCTTCATTATAGATGATGGCTCTATAGCAGATGGACTGAACCTGGGTGCTGTTGTGGTAGACGACGAGACAAGAAACATCTTCCTAGTGTACACACTGTGTGCCCATTACCGGCAGTGTGCCGTCTCTAGTGTCATGGTCACCAACAGCTCTGATGATGGTATCACCTGGAGTACACCGAGAAATCTCTCCCATGAGATCGGTACAAAAATGTTCTCCCCTGGGCCAGGCTATGGGATACAGGTCAGTAGAAAGCATACAAGGGATGGGAAACCTAAAAACGTTGTCCTTTTACCTTCACAGGCAAAATACAGGTTCATTTTAATGTGGGTTGTAGGACCTGCTTATGTTATTATACAGAAGGACCTGTAGCAAGGGTCACTTCTCCTTTTAGTTTTGGATGCCACTGGGGCTGCAGCTAATGATTGTTTTCATACTCGATTAGTTGCCCGATTATTTTTTCGATTAATCAGTTGGTTGCATTAACAAAATCTCCCTGACCCTCTACCCCTCCCTCCCTCTCTCCACCCAACTAATCGATAATTAGAATAGTTGCCAACTAATCTCAGTAGCAATTTCATCGATTAGTTGTTGCAGCCCCAGATGCCACTTTAATTCAGATTTTCTCCATGTACAGAAAAAGTATGAGCCAAAGAAAGGACGGCTGATCGTGTGCGGTCATGGGACCCTGGATGAGGATGGAGTGTTCTGTCTCCTAAGCGATGACCACGGGAACACGTGGAAGAAAGGTGGAAATTTAGAGGGTCTGCCATTCAAGCAGCAAAAAAAAATGGGTGACTTTAGTCCTGATGAATGTCAGGTAGGACGCTTCCACCACTTGTGCACCAAAAGCCTTATTGTTCCCTAACTTTCCATATCCTGCCGACTCCCCTCCATACTTCCTTACCCATAATCCACTCTGCTGTTTTGCCCATCTGACGCCCTTAATCATGTTTTGCCATTTTACCTCTAACAGCCCTACGAACTCCCCGATGGCTCAGTGGTTATTAATTCCCGCAACCAGTACTTTTATCACTGTCACTGCCGGATCGTGGTGTACTCCACCGACGGCTGCGATTCTCTACCGCCGGAAAATGTCCGCTTCGACGAAGGTTTGCCCGATCCAGCCGTGGCTGCCGGAGCTTTGTATAAAGGGGGAGTGACCTACTTTGTGAACCCGTCACACCAGACTCAACGTAAGTGTAGAACACAAGAAGATATTTATTAATGTTAAAGAAAACCGTGTGTGAAAATTGGTTCCTTGCTGTACATTAAATCTTACACCTCAGCCCCTATTATAGAATTCCCTGGCTTTAGCCAAAGCTTTTTATTTTTCTGTAGAGCAGGGAAAGATTAAGGGCTCAGGCACACTAGATGGAGTGCGTTCCGGCCCGATTTTGGCCGGAACGCACTGCCTCGCATTGCTGCCGGCTCACTTTTTAGTGGGGTAGGAGGGGGCGTGGCGGGCCATTCAAGTGAATGGCGCCGTAGCCACTCCCTCCAGCCGCAATGCGATCTGCCGCACGGGATCGCGAAGCACATTGTGCCTGCGGTCCAGCCCTGTGCGGTGCGATCAAAATAGTGCTTGTAGCATTTTGATCGGACCGCAGGCACAATGGGCCTTGCCATCCCGTGCGGCGGATCGCATTGCGGCCGAAAGGCGCGGCTACGGCGCCATTCACTTGAATGGCCCACCACGCCCCCTCCTACCCCACTGAAAGGCGAGCCGGCCGCATTGCGAGGCAGTGCGTTCCGGCCAAAATCGGGCCAGAACACACTGCATCTAGTGTGACTGAGCCCTAAAGCTTCTTGTCACATTTATATTGCTGGAGCACATTTATAGGAGGTGCTAGATCTCCTGTTAATATCTGATATTGCGAATTACCTGTTTTATCGATTAGGCTGACTAGCAACAGTGCAGGGTTTTTAACCACTTGCTGCCCGGAGCAATTTCTTACATTTGCACACACACATGATAAAATGTAAATTTTTGGCTACAAAACAGCTTCATACCCCAAACAATTATATATTTTATGAAAGCAGAGGCCCCGTAGAAGAAAATAAAAATGCTAGCTGAAATTTTTCAGGTCGCACTGTATTTAGGCAAATGTTTATCAAACCAGTATTTTTAGGATAAAGTAAACTAAAATGAAATTTATTGCATAAAAACAATTTGATACCAATTTTTTGGTAACACATAAAAGACAGGGTCACGTTGGGTAAATAGATACCAGACAAGTCAAGTCAAACATGTCTCACTCCGACTTTCGCGACGACATGTAACATGTAGCACAGTTTTTCATTTTTGCACGTAGGCATATTTGCGTTGTGTGGGGATTTGGGGATTTTGTTTTTGTTTTTTACACTCAACTTTATTGCTATCGCATAGAGGGCAAACAAGACCCCTATGTAATCGCAAATATGTGACAGGCCCTCTTTATGGAGACATCAGGGGTCTTTCAGACTCCTAATGTCACTTAGGGACCCCAAAGAAGCTGGGGAAGCAGAGATCTGCTTCCCCAGCTTCTTCTGGCTCTAAGAGCTGGAGAATGTGCGAAGTGATGCAATACACATCACTTCCGGGTCCAGTGTTCGGAGGAGAGAACAGCGCTTGAAACTTGCTGAGCTCCCTCCGATCTGTCAGAGGAGACCCGCTGTGCCGGTCCCAGGCCCACACGGGGGACAGTGGAGCCCGGGGGAAGCACGCAGCGGAGAAGGGGGGGAGCACATTCCACTGCATCATACCAGCGATCCAGCGACTGTATAGAAGCCGGATCGCTTGTATCTGAACAGCGATCGCCTGCTGTTTAAAACAATACCAAGAACGGCTTCAGCAGCAGCAGCAGCAGCCATGTTCTTGGTATAACTACTTCAGGACAGGATGTTTTTTTCATGGTGGGTGGTCCTGAAGTGGTTAATAAAACATGTATCAAATAAAAGCCGTATAGTCCTAAAATGTATACTGACACAGCTAAATTTGGCCTGGGCATCTAGGCTTCAATGAGCTGTGGTCATAAGAGGGTTAAATAAATTTTTTTTATTTTGCACCACGTTCTAACCCTTCCTCATATATCCAAAGCGCAAGTTTTTTATAAAACAAACTTTTATTCTGTTTTCGCGGTTTACCTCTAATGGGTATAACCGTACCTTACCATGACATACAATACAAAAAAAATACGAGGTTTCTCACAGCTACCTTGACATTTGCACCAGAAATATCAACTTTCTAACTTTCCAACGTTCCCGTGCTGGCTGCCCCAGTGACTATAAGCAATATTCTGCAAGTCTGTTGCTACTGATATACAGGTGAAACTCGAATAATTATAATATCGTGCAAAAGTAATTGCAGTAAGTGCTGCAAAAGGGGCCCAAACCAAGTACTGAGTACATATGCATGCTTGTACTTTTCAGAGGTCCGATATTGTTCTATGTACAATCCTTGTTTTATTGATTGCATGTAATAATCTACTTTTTTGAGGTTGTGGATTTGGGGTTCTTGGGGTTTTCATGAGCTGTAAGCCATAATCATCACAATGATGACAAATCACGGCTTGAACTATCTTGCTTTGCATGTAATGAGTCTATCTCATATATTAGTTTCACCTTTTAAGTTGCATTAGTGAAATAAATGAACTTTGCACGATATTCTAATTATTCGAGTTTCACCTGTATATTACCTTGCTATTTCGCTAACATCCCTGCCAATTAACTGAGTAGTAGAATAACTATTTACTTAATGAACTGCTCCCAGGGCCATGTCTCAAGTTTCGATCCCTTTTTCTCACCTTCCCTGTAACTTTAACCGTGACTTCAGCATTAAAACGCAAGTTTTTGGTTACAATTGATTTTTAATGTTCTTTATTAACTTGCTACCCTCACTATCATTTAGGTGTAAACCTCACTCTACGCTGGAGTTTCAATTCCGGAGACTCGTGGGAGCAGAACATCCAGATCTGGCCGGGTCCTAGCGGATACTCCTCCCTCACCACCCTCTCCCATAACGTCGAAGACAACGCGAACATCTTCATTGTGTATGAGAAAGGAAGACAAGATATTACAGAATCCATCTCTTTTGTTAAAGTTAATCTCTACGGCAGTCTCTGATTTGGCTGCATCGCTACCGGATCCAATACAAGAGGTTACAAAATGCCAGGAATTATTTATTTGGTGCCAAAGTCTGACTGTCTTGAATAGAAAAAAAAAATCCTGTCCTGCTCTCTCTTCATGAGAGATACAGTGGAGCTGTTCCAGCTACTTCTGTAGCCCCTTTGCTTCCTATCTGCTGCAGGTTTACAAATGACACAACATACCATGACCAACACTAATCGTTCCTCACATGATATTCCCAAGAGATAAAAACAATACGAGGTTCCGGTGATGTCATTGGTTGGTTTATGCAACAAGTAATGTGAATAGCTTGAAGTTATGGCAGAAGATATAAGCCAGCAGGTGATTTAGTGCCCCAGACTTCACCCGTGACTAAAATATCACTTTTGGGTGAAGTGACCTTTTTTTTTTTTTTTTAAAACCCAACACTAGAGGGGAAGGGTTAGTAGCCTCTGCAACCTTTTTAAAATCATCTGAGATGATTTTCCTCTCTTCCTGTTCTGTCTGGCACCTGTCTCTCTGTGCAGGAAGTGAGGGAAACTCTTAGTAGGAACACCGCACTAATGCGTAGATTCTAACCCTTTGCCATTGTAATAAGAAAGTTGTTTGTGGGGTGATTGCTCCTGACTTCCTGTTCTGAAAGTGATCAGATAGGCAGGAAGTGAAGGGAAATCTCCTAAATGGGGATTCAAAGCAACAAGACCCGGCATGCTCTATCCAAAAGTAAAATTATTTCTAATGATGCTTTAATATTGTTAGTGAAAAGGAGGTTGTTTACAGCATGTACAAAGCTAATGTAAAGTCATGAAATAGAAAACATTGCAGTGTGTCAAACACTAAGCAATAGTTATAAAAAATGGCTCTTTACCTTAAGGCCTCATTCACACTAGAAACGGCCGGCACGTACAGCTCCGTGCTGCATGCAGAGCCGTATCTGGCAGCTCCCGGGAAGGACAAGTGCTGCGTGTGATTAGTACTCAGCCCCTGTCCTCCTCTATGGGAATACGCGGCCGTACGCCGCCCTGCGCTCCCCCACACTGCACGACCGTGCAGGTGAGCGTACTCGTACGCTGACAGGATGAAGCCTGTCTGCCTCGGAGCCGGGACAGCAGCAGATGTACAGACGTGC